TCCAGAATTGGCCTCCACAGTCACTTATGGACACACTGTTGAGACCGTGTTCATGGAAGACAATCTTATTCGGCCAGGAGAGAAGGCAAGGGTGATGCCCTCCAAGCCGCTTATTGGTGAAATCTGTAGCATGTAAGCTGCAGTCAAGTGCAACATTCCAACAGAGGACTAACGGCCTCCATGTTCTAACCGGTTGCTGCGACTACCAGTTTGTCGGTTGCTGGTAGTTTTGAAAGATAACTGCTCAGTTGCACTCACCTCAGGACCAGCTTCCCTTGGTATTGTAGCCTTATGAGGCTTTGCCCTCGGGTGGGAAAAATATTGCGCCTGGGAAAGGGAAGTGGGAGTCAACAGACACTCAAGGAATAGTTTCGGAGAAAAGGCTTTTTATTTCTACCATCCATGAACTGGTAGAAGGAGCAAGTGTGATAAGTCACAAAAAGCATGCACGAAATTCACAGTCATGTGAACAAGCATATATACCCCTTTCCAGTTCCCTCCTCCTTTCTCCTCCTTCCAGAGTCCTGCCCCATGAGTTCCTCTGAGCATGAACAGAAAGCTGTCTTGGGACTCTTGGACTCTTGGTGCCCTTCCCAGTAAAGGGGTTTCAGTGTGTTCAGATATGTTTCAATCTCTTGTTCTGATATGGTTCCCGGACAGAAAGCAAGTTGCAGTGTGGTTCTTTAGCAAGGCCAGAAGGCATGAGAAAGGCCTGAGAAACAATGGACTGTTCTCTACCTTTGTTGCAATCTTTTTAGTTACAGCAAGCGGAATGTTTGTGATGATTAGCTGCTGAGAAAATGATTTTGAAAAGCTTTGAGAAGCTTTGAGCCTGCTTTGGTGGGGGGTGACTTTGGGCCTAGGTGGGGTCACCTGTCCTCACCTTCCTTCATTCCCCCCTCTTAATCTTTGGACAACCTTTTTTCTTAAAAAGGCTCGTCCCAGGAAGGCACAGGCTGCTCATCCCTAGAAGGTACAGGCTGGTATACTTGGGCCAGGCCTATAATCTGGGGGCGAAGCATGCGTGCAGATACCCCCCCCTTCTGAAGCCCACATTGCAGCCAGAAAAAGTTCCTGGCGTGGACTCAGGTGTAACGGTTTGGGCTGGGAACGTACGATTGCAGATTGTCACTGGCGCTCTTTGATTTATTGACACAAAGCCAGCCAGTAATTCGGTGATGGAATGATCAAGGCTGTAACTGAGGATTCATCCCAAGGCACAGGGAGGAGCGGCAGTCCCCTCAGAGCATCTACAGGTGCCAGAGTGCAGACGGTGCTAATCTGTGCCATTCGTGCACAGGGTTATTACCAAGTTGGTGCTGTGGTTCAAAGGGGGCTTTAGTTAAGTTCTGGAGGCTCTGGGTGGAGCTCTGCCAGGTGGCAAGATAATGAAAGGAGGCTGGGGCATAATTTCCCTGATTGAACGTCCCACACAAACACCCTCCTCTGCAGGGGTGTTGTAAGGCTATCCAGGGGCCCTCAACCTCCTATAAAGTTGAGTTCTGCAAAAGGAAAGGAAAGGAAATGAGAAAATGTCCTCTTTCAATCCACGCTGGATTCTTGAGCCGTGCAAAGCATCAGCGTGATGCAGGAAGGCTGGGTGGTCATCTCACGGGCGTTGGGGCGTCTGGTGGGCGTTGGGCATCTTGGGTCCCTTCCAACAAGGCTGGAGCGATGTCTGGGCATCTGGGTCCAATCTGGGTCCTCATCACCTGGTTCATAAGGTATTCTGGCAAAAGTCCACCTGTTAAGAGAAGAGATAACAAAGATGGCAGCGATCGCACAAAACAAATTGATAGATAAGATTTGCACATAAGGTATATTATCTCAAAAGGGTATGCTTGGCAGGAAACTTCGCAAGGGGTTAACAGTTCTGTTCCTTGGGTTAAGTTTTGCCAGCTGAGATTTTTTTTTTTAGGTCTTTTTCTCTGCGCACTAATTTTCAGAGCTCTCGTGGCCTGTAAGCCATGTTGCAAATTTCAGTTTTCATCTGCCAAGTTTGCTAGTGTCCAATGTGTTCCCTTGCTTCTGGCAAAGTATCAAATTCCTCAAAGTAGCAATTCCTATGGTATGCTGCGGCTCCTTTTTCAGAAGTTCACAGAAAGCATTCACTTGCTTTTATTTTAAGAAAGTCATTTCTTCAGGTTAGTATTTGGGGGCAGGGGGGTGGGTAACCCTTGGCCTTCTGGGTTTTTGTGGCTGAACTGGAAATCCAGACAGTGTGAGGTTCGGGGTAGCTGGTTGGCCAGAATGCAGCATTTTCCTCTTGGGATAGCAGCCAAGAGATAGGCTACTCCAAGCGCCTGGCACAAGGGGGGGGGGAGCTAATGTCCTGTTACTTGCGTGAATGAGAAACAGTCTGTTCACTTGCTTTCCACTGCAACAGTCTTTGAGCAAGAACAGAGATGAGAAGAAATCATTTTTGAGAAATCTTATTGTTCCCAGCCTGTGGGGGTGGGGTGTGTCGGGCGTGGGGCCTGTGGGCATTCCATTTCCCAATGACCCTCTTGCCTGCAGATGGCGCACTGGCTTCTTCCCTAGGCGTCCTGCCCCTCTCGTGGACACCCTCCAGGATTACATTTTTGGCTGCTGGCTGCTTGAAGGCAAAGCCCTAATTTTGGCCGGGTCCTCTTTGAAAGAAGGATTCTGATTTAGGGTGCTTGGAGGTCCACGGTCCTGGGCGTCGGATGACTCCAGGGGGTCGTACACTCTGTGGGGCGGGACCCTCAAAGTGGAGCTTTAACTGCCTCAATTGCAACTTTTAGCTGCCTCAATTGCAACATCAGTATTGTCCGCTGCCCTGAGGGCATTTATCTTGCGGATTTCCTCAATGGTCAGTATTGTAATCCTAGGGCTCTTGGATCCTTTGGGTTTTAATAGTCTCTCTCTTTTTTCAGTGTTCAGAGTGTTCAGATATGTTTCAATCTCTTGTTCTGGGATGGTTCCCGGACAGAAAGCAAGTTGCAATGTGGTTCTTTAGCAAGGCCAGAAGGCATGAGAAAGGCCTGAGAAACAATGGACTGTTCTCTACCTTTGTTACAGCAAGCGGAATGTTTCTGATGCTTAGCTGCTGAGAAAATGATTTTGAAAAGCTTTGAGAAGCTTTGAGCCTGCTTGGGGGGGGGTGACTTTGGGCCTAGGTGGGGTCACCTGTTCTCACCTTCCTTCAGTATAGTTTATTTGCTTGTTATGTAACCTAAGCCTGCCTTCAGGTACAGTTCTGTAAACCTGAATGAATCTGAGAGTAAAATAGTTTTATATTAATATGAATCAGATCCGTGTGTGTATTCTTTAAGAGGGATTCAAAGGGATTTTTCACCAGGAAGGCATCTTTATTAGTAGAACTCAGACCGCTTCCTAAACTTATAAAGGGGATTGTTTAACTCTGCTAAAGTAAACCTTCCTGTTAGGAATTGTAGGACAAGACCTGCCAAGGAAAATAAAGAACTTATTTATGTATGCAACAACAGCGGCAAGAGTCTTGATAGCACAAGGATGGAAGAATGAGGAAATCCCAACAAAAGAACAGTGGCAAGAAAAAGCTATGCTGAACTGGCCAAATTGAGATACTATCTGCTTGAAAAGGACAATTGTGACTTCAAGGAAGAATGGGAACTTTTTACAAATTACCTAAAAAGACAACAAAATAATCTGAACTCCTTGGCAGGTTTTGAATAAGCATCCAAATATTTATTAGTTGAACACACGATAGATAAGGCAAGGATATGTACAATTTTATAACATGCAGAGAACAATATGTGTAAAGAAATCAGAGAGGGGATCTGAGGGAAGTCCCTGGTGGGGGGGTTGAGAGGGAGGGGGAAAGGGGGAAAATAATGTAATTGATTATGTGGATTAATGATTTGTTATGTAGAAATTGTTTAATAAAAATACTGTTTTTAAAAAATAAAGCAAACCTTCCCACAAAATCAACCCCCACAGTGTTCAGCTTACGTTTAAGCCAACAGCCTATGGAAAGGCTATCAGATGGAATACAGAATAGCAGGAAAAGTGAATTGGGTGACAGTGAGAACGGAAGGAAACCAGGAGAAATATACCATAGCAGGGCTGTGCCCCAACACTCAATACACCTTTTGATAAGCTGCCATGACAAAACCAGGTCTCAGTCAGAGGAGTGAGGAGATCAGTGTAAACACCCCCCCCCAAGTTCTTCTGGGGTCCTTGAAAAGGTAACTCAGGAGCATTTGTCAATCTGTTTTACCAATGAGAGGAAGCCGGAGAAAGGAGGAGTCATGTCAACTTATTGAGAGGGGAGGGGGAAAGGAAATCTGCCCAAATGGATATGAGAAGCATCAGGTGTGCAACGGATACCAGGTGTCCGTTGATGAGGCAGAAAGAGCTAAGTGATCTCGGGAAGGGAAGGATGTTCCAGCTGCCTTGGAACCTGGCCTCATAAACCAGCAGCTGCCAATATGTTTCCCAGGGGCACCACTGTGCCCTCGACACCTTCCCCTGGTGAACACACAGCCACTGAACTCCCCATGCCCACTGCCAGGGCCTGAGAGGGTTTTAAAGGCTCCAAGCATTTAAAAGATGTTGGTGCCCCCATATATATCTGATTCAACATATTAAGAATAAGCTCATACTGATGGCCACCAACATGGATGACTTTAAAATAGGATTCTTGATTTATTTACCACACACTGGCTTGTCTACCCTTCCTCAATCCCGTCCCTAGAAAACACCTGTCTGAGTGGTTTCCCCCTTTTCACACTTCTCTCCGATGCAACACCCCCTCTTCTGCTCCAAATCAGAGCAAACATTCCTGGGAAAGACGATTGACATTTGCTCCAACTGAGCGCCAAGGAGAGGGTTTCCTGTGGAGAGGCAGAAAAACAAGGGGAAGTGTGGATAAGCCACAGCATGGATCCAAAATGTTAAACTCGGCTTAGGCTTAAGGAGGTTGAGAAGTCAAGGGGGATGAAGGCCGTGAAATAGTGCCACACGGAGGATGTGCAATAGTGATGGGAGAAAGCAAATTATCCTGCTGTGTTTATTGATGATACTGCTTCCGTTTACATTGGAGGATGAGATCTTCCTGCTCCTCTTTTGCCTTCTTTGGAAGTTCTCCGGATTTCAGGGCAAAACGGGGACAAAGGATGCTCAGGGCAGAAGTAGATGCCTGTTGGAAACAAACCCGGGGTAAGTGATTGGTGTGGAGTCAAGAGAAAGGGGAAAAGATGTCAAGGGGGAGAAGGGGGGGGAAATTCTAAAATAAGCAAGAATTTAACCCCCCCTTAAGCTCATGTGAAGGACCTCAAACGTCATTTAGCCCAATCCTTCTGCAGCCTCTCAATAGGGAGCCCCCCCCCAGACTCTGCTTAAAAACCTCTAATGAAATAGAAATAGCGTTCTTGTGGAGATTAAATAAAGGGGGGGGGACTACGTGTGCCACCTTGAGTCCCACGGATATAAAGGTGGGATATAAATGCATTAAATTAATAAATTCTTCCCCAGGACCATAAAGTTCTTCCTAATCTTTGGTCTAAATCCCTTTTCCTTGTTCTTTCAAGCTGCTTGTTCAGCTCTTACCCTCTGGAGCAACTGAAAACAACCCTGTTCCACCCTCCTTTTCCAAGCTTGAATTTGTCTACAATGTAAGTCATCAGCAATTGGAAAAGACAGCAGCCCCATTCTTATTCTTTGTACCCTACCTTCTTTGATTTCTTCTTCCGCTGCCCTTTGGGGATTCCTCCAGCATTCATTTCATCTTCCACTGGTTCCTCTGCTGCTGTTTGCTTTGAAGTCTCCCCAGGATTCCTTCCATCTGACCTCAGTGACATCTCCATCGGACGCGGCTTGAGATACGGCTGGTCCCCGTTCTCCTGAACCACCTTCTCAATCAGAGACAGCAGCTCTTCCGCCTGGCTGGCCCTTTCCTCTTCCGTCCCTCTGTTGTTGAAAGCGCAGCAACGGCCCTTGCATTTCCTCACCAAATCCTGAAGAGGTTGGTTTCCAGATAGCTCTATGTACTCCTTTAGGCTTTCTTTCTCTAGGTCTTCTTTGCGGGTGAACAAGACGATCATGTACTTTGTGGCCTCTGGGCCAAAGACCTCCAACACCCTCTTCATGGCCACAGCGTCTTCCTGGGTGAAACGACCTGCCTGCGTCACAAATACCAGGGCGTGGGGACCTGGCTCACAGAGAGAGAGGCACTTCTGGACTTCCAGAATATCATGCTCTGTTTGAGGATGAGCATCAAAAATGGCTGGAGTGTCAATGACGACTACTTTTTTCCCCTTCCACTTCTCTGCTCGGACCTCTCCCCTGCATGTCTGGGTCACTGGCTCCGGGGAGAGTTTGGACTCAAAGGTCTTCTTCTCCCCCAGAAGGGTGTTTCCTGTGGCACTTCTGCCTCCTCCCGTCTTCCCAACAAGAACAACCCGCAGTTCGGAATCCTTCTGGGAGAGACTCAGGTTCCCAGGCTCTGTTGGGAAGGAATAAGGGATGTTCATATTAACCACACGTCCCTTTCCTCCATGCTTCCCAGGCACAGTCCTCAGGTTATAGCTCTGTGTCCAATGACCTGGTCTTGGTTTCCCCAAGAAAACCTGCTCTTTAAAGCTGAATCAGAGCAAATGTCAATCCTTGGGAAACCTGAATTGACATTGCAAGTTGCAATGAAGGAGATTCCAACTAAACAGCAGGAAGAACTTTCTGAGGGCAAGAGATGCTTGACAGTGGAACGGTCTCCCTTGGGAGGTGAGGGGCTCTCCTTCCCTGGAGGTTTTTAAGCAGAGGTTGGATGGCCGTCTGTCATGGATGCTTGAGCTGAGATTCCTGCATTGCCAGGGGTTGGACTAGATGGTGATGGGGCTCCCTTCCAATTCTATGATTTTATGACATTTGCTTTGATTCAGCTTTAGACAGTCAGTTGTTGTGGGGAAACGTCACAGCAGCAAACAAACAAACAAACAAACATTCTCAGACACAGAGTTTCAAATCATGGATGTGTGCCTGGAATGTGGTGGGTAAAATGTAAGTGTGGATAATCTCTCAGTGTCAACTGAAACAACATTCAGGCCTGTCTGAATCTTTCTGGTCCCCATTTAAGGTGCTATCCATGGCTCTCAAGGCCAAACTGACCTGGGGCCAAGGGGTTCCGTGGAGCTTCTCTCACTCCATCATTCACCCCAGAGCCTCCTGGGATTGGCAGGGGGTTCCTTTCTTCCTGTCCTATTGGTTGGAGAGGCTCAGGGTGCCCCAGTGATGTGGTGTGGCCAGGCCTTCCCAGTAGTGTGGACGTGGTTGTGGAGTCTCTTTCCTTGGTGATCCAATTCAAACTTTCTGAAACAATATTCAAGCCAAAACAACCATCCATTGAAATCCACATTTCTCTGAATTTATTAGTGCAGTTTTCCAGCCAAGTAAGGTGTACAAAAATGCATATACTAGAGTATATGTTGAAATGTGGAGAGCTGTGCTTAATAATTGGGGAAAGTGAGAAGGAGAGAGAAGTCAAAACTTAAGAGATTCTCCCATATGTAGCCAGGAGGAAGAACACAGATGTCCACCTGCCTGTGTCCTAGCTAGCACTGACTCCACTCTGGACATTATGAAAGAGGGTCTGAAGGGGCTTCTAAGCACATTCAGCCAAACACAATTAGAAGCCACCCCACAACCAGGAGCCCCAATGACCCGGAATTTCCCACCATTGGGATGCTGGGCACATGGTATGCATGTGTGAATCAAATGCCTGCATAGGTCTCATGTGCTGAATTGCATAAAGCAAGCAAACTCTTGCACCCATCTCCATAGTTTGCAAAATGTTAGCAGGTTACAGAGCCACCCCCTTCTAGGTGCAGGATTCTGCTCTCCTTTGGGCTCTTCCTTGTACAAAGAAGAATAGCAGGTATTTGGTGGGTTTCTTTAAGGAAGGTCTACCTTGGGAAACTCAACCCAGGGAGGTCTCTAATTGCTTCAGAATCATAATTTGATTCTACCTTCAGGGAATACACTTGGTCCTCCTTTGTCTGTGTCCATTGCTTCTTCCTCTGGTTTCATTTCAGCTGTGCTTCTTGTAGGTCCTCTTGGAAACAGCTCCAGGAAAGGCTTGTTCTGGTTGTCTATCATCATCTGCTCGATTTTCACCAGCAGCTCTTCCGCCTGGCTGGCCCTTTCCTCTCCCGTCCCTTTGTTGTTGAAAGCGCAGCAACGGCCCTGGCACTTCCTCACCAAATCCTGCAGGGCTCTGTTTCCAGACAGCCCTATGTACTCCTCTAGGCTTTCTTTCTCTAGGTCTTCTTTGCGGGTGAACAAGACGATCATATACTTTGCGGCCTCTTGGCCAAAGACCTCCTCCACCCTCTTGGCGGCCACAGCGTCTTCCTCAGTGAAACGGCCAGCCTGCGTCACAAACACCAGGGCGTGGGGACCTGGCTCACACAGAGAGAGGCACCTCTGGAATTCCAGAATATCATGCTGTGTTTGAGGACGAGCATCAAAAATGTATGGAGTGTCAATGACGACCACTTGTTTCCCCTTCCACCTCTCTGCTCGGACCTCTATGCTGTAAGTCTCAGTCACTGGCTTTGGGGAGAGTTTGGACTCAAACTTCTTTTCGCCCAAAATGGTGTTTCCTGTGGCACTTCTCCCTCCTCCCGTCTTCCCAACAAGAACAATCCGTAGATCTTCATTGAGATTTTTGGTTCTGCTCTCCTGTGCCTTGGTAGTCTCTGGAAAGGAATTAGGAAGATGTCTGGGCATCCAGGACCGACCTTGTGGGATGTAACATCACAAAGGCAGTCAAATCAACATTTCTTGGTTGCCTAGAGTGGACACACAGAGGATGTTGCTCCAGCCAGGAGGACTTCCTGTCACACCTGATCTGGAGCATCCTCCCCTTGCATGTGACCAGGTAGATGGGCGTGACCCTGGCAGACCCCATAAAAGGGCTGGTCATGCAGCCATCTTCCCTTTTTTCCTTTTGCTTTTTCACCTTGTTCCATCTTGATGCCCTTTGGCTGTGTGCTGGCCCTCAGTCAGCAGCACATGGGCTCATCCCTCACTAGAGGATGAACCCTCACCTTTCCCTGTAACTAAAAGCAAAAGCCTGCCTTCAGGATCATACTGTGAACTGAATGTGAGTAAATCTTATCATTACCTTCTAAAAGAAGACTGTTGTGCCATTATTGTTCTTAAGAGGGAACAAAGGGTGTTTACCAGGAACAATCAATCTGGACAAGCCAGACTGGATTGCTTAACTCAAATGGTTCTGACGAATCCATCAACTCACTTCCTGCAATGTGCAAGGGAATGTGCTCTGCTACTAGCTCACAAGCATGAGTGAGGAAGGATAATATTTAATCACTATATCCTCTCCTACTATCCTCAACATTCCCACAGAATTGTTGCCTTGGAATTCGCCCCCCGAATTGCCACCATGCAGGGTCCATACACTGCAACAATTCCCCTAAGCACCTGGGGTCACCTCACCCTTCCAACTGTGGCCCACGAATGGTCCAACCTTCACCATTCCCTTCATGTGGTTCTTTCAGAGGAGGGTCAGGAGAAGGGAGAGACTTACCTCTAACTTCCTCTCTCCATTCATCCATTGTCCCGGCAGAATGCTGAGCTGGAAGACAAGAAAATTCATTAGCTCCTGCAATACAGTTTGACTAGTACTTTGCCCAAACTCCTCTCCACCACCAGAGGAAGCTTATGATGTAAACACAACCCTGAAAGAACCTCAAAGCACCATATTCTGCCCCTGCAGATTTGGGATTCAATTACTAGGGAGGCAGCTGATGATTTTTTATCATGCATTGGTCCTAAATTAGGTTTGCTAATTTTTCCTGTTGATAATTTCATTGTTCTATCTTTTTGGATATGAGGGTGTGTGGTTTTTACCACCAACAGGTGCATAAGCATTAATAAACAAACATGCCTAACACTTTGTCCTTCACAATCTCTTGCCAGAATCTTCCCACCCTCTACATCTGCGGGCATACTTGCTTCGCCCTCCCCACTCCTCAAACGGTTGGGGGGAAAAGCACCCGGATATTTCCTTCCTCCAGCCAGAGCTGCATCTCTCCCCCCTTACCTGCTTCTGCCTTGGGGGTCCCTGGCAGCCTGGCCTGGGGTATCCTCCCTTCTGCAGCTCCCAGGCAGGTGGGCTGGTTTGGGGAGGGCCCTGAACAGCTGCAGCCCCTCAGGATTATGGTCTGTAGGCTCCTTGGGGCCTAGTCCTGATGAAAATACCCTCCAGAGATATGACCACCTCTTGAAGGCAGCTGCTTTTCAGTGGGGAGGGGGCTGATGACAACAACTTCCAGCGCCTCCCCTCCCCCAGTGGACTCTCTCCCACTTACTTGCTTCCTTCTGCTGCTGCTGCATGTCGCCATTCCAGCCCCCCCCCCCCGAACCTCCCCACTCAGAAGCCCTGGAGAAGCCACTGACTGCCAGTGTGGACAATACTAATCTAAATGGACCAGTCAGTCTGGTTCAGTACAAAACAGCTTCCTTTTTTCTCCATGTGGTTTGGGGCAGGGGGGGGCACAGCTCAGCAGCTGAGCATCTGGTTTGCATAGAGATGGTCTTGGGTTCAACCGCTGGCATCTCCAGGTGGGGCATGGCTGAGCCAGGTGACATCTCCTTGCAAAAGGAGCTTCAGACAAGAAAGGAAACGGTACCTTCTTTGTGACGCCTCTGGAGCTTGAAGAAGACTCTCGTGTTCGATGGTCCCTCTGCTCTGCAGTTTCTTCTCTCCCTCTCTGTCGATGGCTGACTCTGTTCTGAGCTGAATAAAATGGAGATGGCAAGCATGAGCTCCACCCACCCACCCCAAAAGCATTCATGGCTAGCAGCCAGATCATGTTCTGAGAAGCCAAAACAGCTTCCCAGAATTGCATATCTGTTTCTATTGGCTACAGGAGAGGACAAAACTGCCCTCTGGGAGGAAAATTTCAGAGGAGCTGCATTTGGTCTCCTGCAGTTCTGGGAGAAGCACCCAAGAGCAGCAGCAGCAGGAGACCCACACGGAGCGAGACCCACACCTCAGACGGACCACAGGTTGGTATTTGGGAGCAGGGAGCAGCAGCCACAAGGTTTGACTTTAAGTCTTTTGTATCTCAACCTGCCTCAGAGATGCTCAAGGTCTGCTTTGTTTGACCTGTTGCTGGAGGCTGGGTTAGAGCTCTTGGGTCATTCCACGCCAAACAACCTGATTTTAATACTCGATTGTGCTCTCATGACTCAGATTTTCTTCAAAAAAAATTTTTTGTGTAGATACCTATGAGATAACCTCAAATTAATTTTTAAAGTTTTTTTGGTCCAAAATTGGACATGGGAGAATTTTTTGAAAATTTCAATTTTCATGTGATTTAGGCTAATGCAATTTCTTGCAGAAGTGTTTTACACCATAAAATGAACAAGGGGTTTGAGATGCATTTTATTATTATATAATCAAAACTTAATTTTTAAAATATATCAGATGACACTGTAACATAAGAGGTTACAATTTTAACTATTCTCATGAATGTGAGAGTTATTTCAGGTTCAAAGAGACATTAAACCTGTCCAAAGAAGTAATTTGTTTTGTAAAAAATTTACTTCAAAATCAATTTATTTTATAACCACAAAAAACACCCTCCTTATTTTTATAACAAGTACATGGTTAGCCCATTCTACAACAAAAGTATGATACATGTGTTAGTTGTGGTTTGCGCACTATGGCATATTGAACAGACCAGGAATAAAATGACAAAAATTCACTTTGAATAGTCGGTGACCCTTTTCTGTGGCAGTTAATACCATTTTTATACCTTATTTTGAAAGAGACCACAATTACCTTTATTTTGATACCAAAATAAGCCCAATCGGTTGAAAAATAAGCAAAACAGGAGGTTTTTCCTACACTGACGCAGAAATTGCATTAGCCTAAATTGCCTGAAAATCTAAAAGTTCAAAAAATTCTCCTGCACCCAATTTTGGACCAAAAAAACCTTTAAAAATTAATTTGAGGTTATCTCTCTCTCTTTTTTTAAAAAAATAAATATTTATTGAAGTTTTCACATTATTACAAAATGAAAAAGGAAAAAGTACAAAATAAAAAGCTGTTAAAAACAATTCCAACTTTTTATCACTTATTTTCATTTACTTATTTCCCGGACCTCCTCATACCTCCCTTTTTTTGTATTCCAATTCAAATTATTAGTTCAGCAATTCCTTTCCCTCCTTATTTCATCCTGGTCTTTAATCTAAATATATTATAGCATTAAACTTTAACCTGTTTAAAAAAAGTCCACTTTTTTCATATTCTTTTATACCTTTACAGCTAGAAACCACTTAACCTCAATCCAACATCATTCTAGCATTCACCAATTTTGCAATATTGCTGTAAGTAGTCTTTAAATTTCTTCCAATCTTCTTTCACCGTCTCTTCCCCCTGACCTCGAATTCTGCCAGAGGTTGTCTCAACATAAAACACATAAAAACTTTTTGAAGAAAATCTGAGTCGTGAAGCTCTTGGAAGCAAAACTTTGGCTTGCGTGTATAATAATGAATCTTTTCCTTTTGATTAAATTAGCAGTTAAAGTAGTCCCTCCATGGTGGAGTGAGCCTCACAATCTGCAGGAACATCCCTCTGGGTTTTAAAGCTTATTTTTAAAAGAACATTTCCCTTTCCCTTTTTTCCCCTGCCAGAATTGCCTGAAATTTGCAGACATGGAAACTGACAAATCCCAAAATTAGAGCTGTAGTGTTTCCTTTGCCATTTTTTTGGGGGGTGGGGGGGTGGTACAAAAAGAAAAAGAAAAAATCAGTAGGGGGGAGGAATGGAAATGACTTCTTCTGCCCCACACCAGGGATTTTTCGGCACACAGCTTCTCCCTGCAAGAAAGAAATCTCTCCATTGAATTGGATAGAGAAAGGAGAGGCAGAGGAAAAAGAAAGGGTCCCTCTGAAAAATCAATCCTTCGTCGGCATCTCTTCCCAAATCACTGGGAGTCGGGAAAGGGCGGGGCTGGGAAAATAATTCAGGGATCAAGACCTCGGCTCGCCGGTCAAAGTGAAATCTCCCCCTTCCCTCCTCTGTTCTCTCCAGCCCATCCGCACTCAAACTCAGAGCAAGGGAGTCTTTCGCCAGGAGGGAGAATCAGCTCAGCTGCACTGCATGCAGAAGGTCCGAGGCTTGACCCCCGGCCTCTCCAGGTGGGGCTGGGGGAGAGACTTGGGCCTGGGAAGCGCCTGCCAGTCAGTGCAGGCGACATTGCGCGAGACGGAGCGAGGGCCCCACTCTGCGCAAGGCGACGTCTGGGGTTCCCAAACGCAGAAAGAGAAGCGCACCTTCTTCTCCGCGTTGTCTGCGCTCCTTGAAGAGAGCCCTGCGCTTGACTGGCGTTGTTCTCCTTCTCTCTCTCTCTCTCTCTCTCTCTCTCTCTCTCGTGTGGACCAGGGACTCGGTTCAGAGGGGAATAAAACGGAGAGGGGCGAATCCAGCCCCCCTCTCAGCCTGCAGTGCCACCAAATATTTCTGGTTAGCATCCCAGAGCCCTTTCTGATAAGTCAGGGAGTTTTCTCTGACTTGTTTCTCATTCACCAAAAGCGGAGACGACTCTGCTCGCCCCACTGAGTCTTCCGCGGCGCTTGCAGAAGCACCCGAGAGGCAGAGGAACCCCACACTTCCCTCGGACCCACAGCTTGGTGTTGGGGAGGCGCGAGCAGCAGCTGCAAGAGTTGAAGGTCCGAGACTGCAGGTTTGGGAAGCAGATCAGTCTGTGTTGGAGATGCTCCGTGTCTTTCCTGTTTGCCTTTTAATTTGGGACTCTTGTTAGATATGTGGGAAACGCAGCTCTGTTTCCGCCCCCCTCCTCCCACCCCCGACAATTGTGACTCTCGAAATGGCTGTAACATTCTTTCCCCTTTCCGTCCTTTGAAACTTTTAGGCGAAGGAGCCTCTCCTCACAGAGTTAAGCCTGCCAACCTGCAGGCAGAGCCGGCCAGGCAGTGGCCCCCAAACTGGGAGGTACCACCCCGTGCTTGGGGGTTGGGGGGCAGTGGGGTTGCCTAAGGGGGCGGCGAAGGGGACGCTGGAGGTCAAATGGCTTTGAAAAGCTGGTATCACTGAATCAAGTTCACCAGCATGGTTGAATGAATTAAACGAAATAGTTTTGAATGATTGTGCAATTGTTGTTGTCGTGCAAAATGTTACAATTGTGTTACTACCTACCTTTTTTACACAGCAGATTAGGGGGTAATGGAGATGAATTTATGGGACCAAGAGGGGGTGGCCCAGAAAACTTCGGTTTTCGCACAGGGTACCCTTTAAAGAGCATTTGTAAAGAACTCTGGGGCGATTTTCTTTTCTGCCAGAAATGGCTGCAATCTGCAGACATGGCCACCCTTTCTAAAGGGGTGAAGAGTGCCAATTCTCATAATGAATTTGTTCAGTGGTTGGACTCAAGGGCTTCCGAAGTCTGTTCTCAGGTGCAAAAGTAGCCTTTGTTTCGCCCTGGTCAAAGACCCAGCTTGGCAACGCCCCCCCCCCGGGCATTTGGGTACACAGACACACAGGCTGGGATTCTTAATGGCCAGGGTTAACTAACACACACCACACACACACACACACAGAGAGAGAGAGAGAGAGAGAGAGAGAGAGAGAGAGAGAGAGAGCGCTGTCTGCTCTAAGCCTAAAATGCTGTGGTTCTAACTGGAGCAAAAGCCCCATATCTTTGAAATTTAATAGTACAATTTAAGGGGGGGTGAAGCCCCATTAAGTTCTGTGGAGCTTACTCCATGAAAATGTGCATAGGGTTTGTTTGTGGGGGAACAAAAAATACTTGACTTGATCCCAATCCAGTTCTATGGAACAGATCTTCTTGATTTTAAAAGCACTGGTCTAGAGTTCAGTGGGACTTGCACTATGAATACTTACCTAGCTGCAAGTCCTATTTTTTTCTTTAATAAGTACAGTGGTACCTCAGGTTAAGTACTTAATTCGTTCCGGAGGTCCATACTTAACCTGAAACTGTTCTTAACCTGAAGCACCACTTTAGCTAATGGGGCCTCCCGCTGCTGCCGTGCTGCTGGAGCATGATTTCTGTTCTCACCCTGAAGCATAGTTCTTAACCCGAGGTACTATTTCTGGGTTAGCAGAGTCTGTAACCTGAAGCATATGTAACCTGAAGCGTATGCAACCTGAAGCGTATGTAACCTGAGGTACCACTGTATAGTTTTATTGATTTCCAACATATAACAATTACAAAAGAAAATTGAAAGTCCATAGAGGCTTTGTGAACCATATTATAAGGAAGCCATTATATAAGGTATGGGAAAAATACAAAGACTTGCTGGAACCCAGAACCTAGATAGCAGTTAAAAGGAAGAATTTGGAAATGGAGTGGGCTGCATATAAAGATCTACTGGGGGAAGAAGACAATAAATTGAAATTGAAAAAATATGAGGAATTAAACATAATCTGACAGAATGGATCCAATATCATCAGATAAATGAGGTCTTTAAGATAGATATCAAAAAAGGTTTTGCAAGAGAAGAATAAAACGAATAAAGAATAAAAAATAGACAAAGAATTAATACAAAATAAGAAAAATGTAATCTCTAGAATGTATGGATTTCTTTTAGAATGGGAGGGAAAAGATATGCAGATGAAAGAAGTAATGATTAAGTGGGCTATGGACTTGGGTAAAACTATTCAGTTATCAGCGTGGGAAAGGTTGTGGAACAAAGAATGGAAATTTGTGGCCTGTTACTCGTTAAGGGAAAATTTGTGGAAGATGTTTTACAGGTGGTATATAACCCCCAGCAAAATATCTTAAATATCTTTTAAAAAGAAATCTAATATGTGCTGGAGGTGTAATCAGGTAGAAGGGACACTATTACATATGTGGTGGAGCTGCAAAAAAATTAAGAATTTTTGGGATACTTTATATGAAGAGCTGAAAAAAATATTTAAACACACACACACACACCATAAGCTTTCTTATTGGACATATTAGACTCAGACATCCCAAATGAAAATAAGAGAATATTTTTATATGCAACAACAGCAGCAAGGATACTAATAGCAAAAAATTGGAAAGGTGAAATAGTACCAACAAAAAAAGAATGGCAGGATAGACTATTTGAATATTTTGAAATGGCAAAAATGAAGGACACAATTAGGGGACAGTCTAACCAAAAGTTCCAAAAAGAGTGGGGAATATATTGAGATTATTTTAAAAAATCAGTGTCCCCAAATAAAAACCTGGATTTGCTTTGAATAATTTTCACAAACCACAATTTGCGCTAGAAGTATACTGGACAGAGAAGGTTAGGAATGAAGAATTGAGAAAGAAACAGCTTAACAAGTAGGAAAATAGACCTGCTTTGAGGAGGAAGGAAGTCTATTAGAAATGAAAGAAGAAGAATGGGAAATATAAAGTAGGGTAACATAAGTTCGTGGGCAAGAATTTACGGATTTATGGTTATATGTTCGTTATTTGTTATATGGTTATGTGTTCATTATCTGTTCTCTGTTTTTCTTTTTAGTTTTTGTTGCTGCTGTTGTTATATTTTAATGTTTGGGTTTATGTTATGTAACAAAAAGTTAATAAAAAGCATTAATAGAAAAAGAAAGTCCCAGTCCCAGGGGTGGCCATTTGGATTGGGGGTGGGGTGGGAGGCAGGGAGCCCAAGAGTGGGCGGAGCCAGAACCACTGATGGGCGGAGCCAATTCTTTCTGTTGTGGTTCCCATCCTCCTCCCTACTGACGTCTACCAAGGCAACTGAGGGAGGAGAGAAGATGTTCACAGCTGCACCCTAGAGCAGAAGGAAGGAAGGAAGGAAGGAAGGAAGGAAGGAAGGAAGGAAGGAAGGAAGGAAGGAAGGAAGGAGGGAGCAGTGGGGGCTTGGGAAGCAAGTGGGGGCTGGGTGGGGCAGTGTCCCTCTTGCCCCAGTTGACCAGCCTCCATTCTGGGGCAGCCGTCAGTGAGGGCCATTCCTGTTTTGTGGGACCTGCCATTTCTCCCCAAGACATCCTTTCCTTTCAGCACACATGATGGCCAAATATTTGGGACAGCAGACACTTAGGAAGATCCCTCTGTAAAGTGTAAAAAGAATTGTGTGAGGCAAGTTTTTGGGGGGAGCAGCACACATTTCTGCCTAATATAGAAAGCTCCCCATTGGCTGATTCTGTTTCCTTTTGCTTCCGATCTAGAAATCCTGAATATTGGCTTGTGAATTTTTCTGCTTGTCTGAATATGGCTGGAAGAAGCACAGGTAAGACCGAGCTGGTTTTATCTCATTCTCCCAGGTTCCTGGACGGTGTTGGATGGAATCAATGTAACCATGGGAGAGACATTAGCTTGATTCATGGTTTGTTTCCAGACCATATTCAAGGTGCTCACGTTGGTGTTTAAAGACCGAAATGATTCGTGTCTCCAATACCTGAAAGACCCCCCCTTTCCTTGCAGACCCTCTTGGGTGCTATGATTAGGGGAAGGGGTCCTCTTGGTTGTTCTACCACCTACAAAAGGTCAGCGATTGTGGCAGCCCAGGACCTTCTCTGTGGTGGCCCCATAGATGTGGAACTTCCTCCCCAGAGAGGAGCACCTGGAGCCTTCATTGTGCAGCTTCTGGCAAATGTTGAAGATGCACCTCTTTTGAAGCTTGAGGTGTCTAACTTTGGCACCTGTCTTATTTCTGTAATTTTAGCCTGTTTTTAACTTTGTGTTTTATTTGTAACTTACCCTGGGACCTTTGGGTGAAAGGTAGCCAATTATTATTTTAGTATTTTATTTTAATGCGAACCTACTAAATTCACACTACCCAAACAAACACATGAGCTAAAAGATGCAGTTCAATCAAAATATGTATGAAAAAGCATAGAACAGGGGGAAATCCACAGAAATATACTTATATCTGTTGGGAAATGAATTATATTAGGAGAAACTGCTTGCAGAAATGTTTATACAGTAGTGGGAATAAGTGCACATGGATTGGGTTAAATTCACTTAAATGTGTACAGATTGTCATGCCAAAAAGTGGAGAACTGAACTTAATTCTGGAGAAATGAGAACCTGAGAGAAGGAGAACTTGACCGATTTGTTTCTCCCTCCCCACAGCTTCTGGGTGATGGAGATGGGCAGGGGAGGGTTGGTGCCCATGTTCTCCTCAGGTTCCTCTCTGGCTTCTGTGACAATGCAGAAGAGTTGCTCACCAGCTCTTGCCTATTTCTTGCAGAACTGAGGATCGCCCTGGTGGGCAAAACTGGAGCTGGGAAAAGCGCAACAGGAAACACCATCCTGGGGGAAGAGAGGTTTTCATCACTCCTCTCTCCTACCTCCGTGACAGCAGAGTGTCAGAAAGAGGACACGGTCATTGGTGGTAGGAGAATTGTGGTGGTTGATACACCTGGCTTTTTCGACACAAAGGTTCCAGAAGATGTGACTACCAAGGAAATCAAGACCTGCGTGAAGTACATCTACCCAGGAGCCCATGTCATCATACAAGTCATGCAGCTGACTCGTTTCAGCAAGGAGGAGAAAGCCGTTGCTCAGTTAATCCAGAAGATATTTAGCTGCAAAGCCAAGGACTACATGATCATCTTGTTCACCCGGAAGGAAGACTTGGAAGATAGGCCTTTGAAAGCGTTCTTGGCGGAGGGAGACCAGGATCTGCAGAACCAGATCGCTCAGTGTGGAGGGAGATGCCTGGCTTTCAACAACAAGGCGAAAGGGCAAGAAAGAGAGGAGCAGGTGGCCGAATTGCTTGGGATGATCGACCACCTGGTCCAAAAGAACAAGGCAGCCCCCTGCTACACGGAAGACATGCTAGAGGAGGACCAAGAAGTGATTGAGAAGATGAAGAGGAAAATACGTGAGGAGGTGGAAAAGGAAGCAGCTGCCAGGGCAGCAAATGATTTATTATATTCATTTCGCTCACCATGTAATATACTCTAAGAAGTACAATGAGAAGAGGTTGAGAGGATGAAGAGGGAAATACGAAGGGAAGTGGAAAGGGAAATTCATGAAGAGAAGAGAAGAAAGAAAGAAGAGGAGTCTGGCTCAATATGCAACTTACTGTAATGCATCTACACTGTAGTGAGAATGATCCACTTAAATACCAGAACATTTTCACTCACGGTAGGGATGTGCTAAAATGCCTCTGTCTGTCCTGATTTCCACTTGTACTTTCAGCCAGTGTTTTCTGTTCCACTGCAATTGCTTTAATTTTGCATAAATCAGCATTCCACTTTGTCGTCTACTTATGTGGAAATGCATATAGTTCTACGTAGTTTGTCATAGCAAACAATAGAAACACGATTGATCAACATATATTTACTTTTTAAAAATATATTTTTATTAGACAATTTCAACAAAACAAATTATCAATCCAAATAATCAATTACATTATCTCCCCCCTTTTTATCCCCCTCCCCATCCCTCCCTCTCCCCCCCACCAAAGACTTCCCTCAGCTCCCCTCTCTGATTTGTTTGCACATATTATTCTCTGCATGTTAAAAATTGTACATATCACTACCTTATCTATCATATATTCTATTAATAAATTTGTGGATGTTTATTCAAAACCTGCCAAGGAGTCCAAGTAATTTTGTTTTTTTAAAAAAATAGTTGATAAAAAGTTCCCAATCTTCCTTGAAGTCACAATTGTCCTTCTCCCGTAGTTTGTGTGTCAACTTTGCCAACTCTGCATAACTCATCAGTTTTTCTTGCCATTGTTCTTTCGTTGGGATTTCCTCCTTCTTCCATCCTCGTGCTAACAAGACTCTTGCCGCTGTTGTGGCAGACATAAATAAATTCTTTGTTTTTCTTGGCAGGTCTCGTCCTAAAATCCCTAACAAAAATGCTTCTGATTTCTTTACATTTTAAACATTTTTTCCAATTCATTATATATCATTTCCCAATTTTTTAAAACTTCTCTACATTCCCACCACATATGATACATAGTACCTTCTTTTTCTTTACATTTCCAACATATATTTGACCCGGTTTTGTACATTTTTTTTTGTACATTTTTGTTATTTGTACTGGTGTGGAGTGAATTTCAAATCCACTTTCCACAGCTTTTCCCAATCCTCAAATTGTATATTGTGTCCTATATCTTGTGCCCATTTGATCATAACTGATTTGACCTCCTCATCTTTTGTTTCCCATTCTATCAGAATACTATATGCTTTCTTCGCATCTTTTTCTATAACCACCTTTTGAAATCTAGAGATTGTTTAACTAAACCCTTTTTTATTATCTTCCTTATACACCTCATGTAATTGTCTGTAATGTAGCCAACTCTAAAAATGGTCTTTAATTTCCTCATAATCTTTTAATTTCCATTTTCCTTCTCTATATGTAGGCCACTTCCCCTTTTTACCAAGCATTGTGGTTGGTAAAATTACCTTGGAAATTACTCTAGGGGCTGATGGGTTAACTGGGGTTTGGTGGGAGCCATATATTCATGTCATATTTGGTGGTAACAGCAGTGACAGAAGATGGTTTTGCTACAAACTGTTTGTACTAAATTTGAATATTTTCCATTCATCAAGCTGCATGAATTCTCTAGTTGCTCAGATATTAGAATGTGATTCTAAGATTGGTTCCCTTCACATGCATCTCAGCCGTGCCAGAAACTCCTCTCTGATGAAGGCAGAGAGGCAAAGAACTGTCCATCCCATAATGACTCCAAGGTCGCTTCCAGCAATGTTAGAAACTGAGAAATGAAAGCCAGGAGCTCAATGGCACCTTAAACCGAAGTTATGGGAGCAACAACGGAATGTCTAGGTGCACTTTTTTAATAACAAGAATACAAAGCTGAAAATGAATAAACTGCGGCTAAAATATTATCTTCATTTTTCACATGGTCTAGTCCTTCCCCTGCCCACCCCCCTAATATTCGTAAGAAGGTCTCTTCTTCAGAGAGTAGCTGGAAGTCAGGAGGCAGAAAAAGGTCCTCCCTTCCTTCTGCTCTGCAGTTTTAATCTGAAATCAGTACCCCTCCCAGAGGTCAGAAACTGCTCGCTGTTTGAATGAAGTGTCGCAAAATGTGAGTTTCAAACACCGGCTTGCTGTCCAAGCATTCTGTCTGACCTGCTTGCAGGAAAGTGCGAGTTGCGTGACAACAGGGCGTCAGAGACAAGCCCATACTCCACACTTCGCAGGGGCATTTCTCCTCCAGAAGTCGGATCTTTCAGGCTCACTTTGAGGGGGGGGGCTGGGGAAATGGCCCCTTTCCATGAATGAGCTGCCCACCCACAATGCATTTTGCGTGTGCCAGAAGAGGGCCGGATTGAGGTTTGATGAGGCCCTCAGCTACTGAAGGTAATGGGACCCTTTCTATGTCCAGCTGTCCTTTGTCAACAACAAATGGTCACTGTTTTTTGTGTTGAATATATGCTATATGGTAATTTATGGACGTTACAGGTATCTAAAGCCATTTGCACATAACAAAATACGTGGGGGGTTTTCAAAGTAATTGTTGAACTGAAATACAATTAAGAAGTATATTAATAGTGAAATACAATTAAGAAGTATATTAATAGTGAAATAATTATTAAGCTCTAACTTAAAATGATTTATTCATAACGAACTTAATAATGCAAGCACATTGGCATTTGGCAATAACAAAAGTTCCTTCAGAAACACCATTTACAAAGACTCATCATCTAGTCTCCAGAAACTTGCTATAACATGAAATAATAATAGGTGTAAATATATGATGCAAACTACTATTAATTAAATAGCAGGATGTAGGCACCCTATATATAGAAAGGAGCAAACCAGGGATATTTGAGGGAGCAGGCGGGGCCCAAGACTTACATCATAGGAGCCTGCACAACACAAAATGCTGATGCTGTATGTAGGTTTTATTTGATTTGTTTTTTATCTTATATTTTGGAAATGTACATCCAGGGGTTTTTTCCCCTTTAATTCCCCCCCCCCCCAGCTCTGGCTTGTTGAGCTTATACCTCGATCCGGCACTGTGCCAGAATCTCTCAGCCTTGAAGGTGGATGGACGCGGAGCTCAGCGCCTCCTTTTGTTCCCAGACGCCCTTCAGGAGGGCGGGGAGAGCGGCGGGTTCCTGGAAGCTCAGCTGAGCGCGCTGCCCTGGCGCGCATCTCCCTCCAGATCCTTGGCCAGAGGCGAGACCCGGGGAGACCGGGCGTGGGGAGCGCTGTCCCCGTTCAGCTTGCAAGAGGGAAGGGGGATCGGGGCCCATGGGCGATGCCAAGTCCATCCCTCCGAGGTCCCTCCTCCTAGCACGAAGCCTGCCCAGGGCAGCAGGAGTCCTCACGCCCAGCGCCCGCTGTCCTCTTGCGCGAGTCTCCCCGCGGGATGCGCGAGGACCGGGAGACAAAGCGGGGATTGTGGGGGCTGGAGAGCCGCTGCCGAGCCCCCTGCGCCCCTCCGCGCCCGCCCAGCTGGTGCGCAAAAGCTCCGCCCGGGTGGATGGAAACGAACCCAAAGTGCCCTCGCTGTTGCGCCCCGCGTTTGCGTCTGCCTCCCGCGGCCCCGAAAGGAATTGTGTGTCGCTCACTTTCGCCTTCGTTTCTTTTTGGGGCTCCAAAAACTTCGGGGGTAAGATTCCGGGGACGCTGCTCCCGAGGAAACCCATAGAGCAGTGTTTCCCAACCGGTGTTCCGCGGCACACTAGTGTGCCGCGAGACGTTGCCTGGTGTGCCGTGGGAGGGAGGCAGGCGAGTCGGGCGGTGAGAGGCGGGGCGGCGGCGGCGAGGAGAGGCCGCCCAGCGCGGGGCTCTCGCCGTCTGCCTGCCTGGCTGCCTGCGTGGCGCTGACGTCACGGGGCTGTAACGTGCCCCACATAGGCACACGCGGGGCGGCGAGCGAGCTCCCTCCCACATCCCATCGCCGGCTCTGCACCAGGCGGTAGAGCTCGGCGAAGTCGCCGCGCTGGAAGGCCAGCAGCGCGCACGCCTTGGCCAGGCTCTCGCCCGCCTGCGCCTCCAGGCACGGCGCCTTGGCGTCGGGCGGCAGCGAGCCCAGGAAGCGGCCCAGCCGGCCGGGGTCGCCCGCCTGCAGCAGCGCCTCGCACCCGCACGAGACCTGCTCCGCCGAGAAGCGCGGCGAGCGCGGAGGATCGGGCGCGGCGGAGGCCAGCCCCGTGCTTGGAGAGGACGCAGCAGCCGTCGCCAAACCCGATCCTCCTCCTCCTGCTCCGCCGCCGTCCTCTGGCTCTCGGCCGGGAGGAGCCTGCGGCGACGGGGCGGGCGCCGAAGTTGGCAGAAGTTGGCGCGCCTCCTCGGCAGCGCCTTCGTCCTCCTCCTCCTGCCTCTGCTCTCCTCCGGCGGCGGGGGCGCGCCGCCCTCCCCGGCCGGGGGGCTCGGCGGGGCCCGCGGGGAAGGAGGCCATGTTCGCGGCGCGCGGGATCGCGGCCCCCCTCGCCCACCTCCGGCCCGCTCCCCTCCCCCTGCGCGCTGCCCTAGCCGTGCGGGTCTCCTCCCCCTGCGCCGCCGTCCCCTTTCCACATCCTAGGAGCCGCGGTCCGCCTACCGCCCCCGGGCCGCGGCGCGGCTCCCAGCCCGGGCTGGCCTCCGCCTCCTGGGACGCGCGCCCACCCCGCGGCCCCCAAACTTCGGAGCAACTCTCCAGACGCTTCTCCCCCGCCTCGCTCTCCCTCCTTTCCACTTCTCTTCCCCCCTTCCTTCCCTCTTTCTTTCTCTTTCTCTCCCACCCGCCTTTCCTTCTATTAACTTTCCTTTCCCCTCCCTTCGTCCTTCCTACTTTTACTCCTGGGCTCCTCCCCCCTTTGCGCAGCCACAAATCAATCTCTCTCTCTTTTTTCCCCTCTCTCTCTTCTTTGCTCAGACGCAAAAAAGCGCCGCTTTTTGGAAATCCGGACTGCTGTCCCCGCTGAAACGATACTTTAAAAAAGGAAGAACCCACTGGCTCTTATTTCTGTTCAAAGCAGTAGATCCCGAACTCTTTTGGCCCACTGCCCCCTTGGTTCCACATCCCCCAGTGTCCCCTATGCTTACTCTATAGAAAGCATTACAGGGGTTAACGCGGCTCGCTAAGGAAGATATTAATAGAATTCTGCATTTGGGGGGAGACCCTAACAGTCATCTACCATTACCTTCTATGCTGTTACTATTTTTTTATTTTTTTTTACATAAGTAAAAAGTGACCTTTCCCCATCTGGCATGGTGGTGTGCCTCGAGATTTTTTTCATGAAACAAGTGTGCCTTTGCCCAAAAAAGGTTGGGAAACACTGCCATAGAGGTTGCTCCGCTCCCATATTTGGGAGTTTAGATCTACGGATGGTTCATCCTTCTTGCTGTGCAATGCCAGAAGATTAGTGTGCATAAATCAAGTTGGTTTATGTCGCTGGAGCGCCCTGGAGAAGAAGGGGATCACTTTCCCAGAGCTGTGCTCACCAGAGGACGCTTGGAGATCCGGGGGCTGCAGATAACCCAGAGCTCTCTCCCAACAAAAGATTCCCTGCATGCCTCTTCTGTTTCCTCATTTACTGCGTCCCCCTTAGATATTTTCTTATTCCTCCTTCTGTGTTGTTTTTTGAAGGTGGTGACACAGTAATGCAAAGGAATCTGTTCAGGGGTCCAAAGGATGCTCTGAATCATGCCACTTGCAGGAGGGAAGTGAGGATGGCATGAAACTCTGGCCATTTCCAAGGTTCAGGGATTTTATTTATTATTACTCTGTTTGCACAATTCATCTCTCTCTCTCTCTCTCTCTCTCTCTCTCTCTCTCTCTCTCTCACACACACACACACACACACACACACCTTCAACCCACCAGGCCTCATTTGTAAGTGAAGATATATTGAGGTGTTTGGTGCTTCCCCACCTGGACTCAAATGGCTGTTTAATTACCTGTTTAGCTACCAGTTTTCTACCCAGTGGTCATCCTTGGTTAAAAACAATAACAAAAAACCCCCTCCTTGACCCTCATTTTTCCTTCTGAAGAACAAGTGGGGGCTTTATACAGCCCCCGTTTAAAACAGTCAAAACTACTGCAGCAAAACTTAACAGTATTTTACAAACTTGGGAGGTGGGTGATCCATTTTTAGTCAGTTTTATTCTGTCAAGACTGTGTGCTCCTGAAATGAAGCATGAATCTCCCCGTCTTTGTTGTGTAATGGATAAAATAGAATAGGGTTTGGATATAAATGCAATAAGGGACGCGAGTGGTGTGGGATGTAAACACAGGAGCAGTCAATGACAACATTCCTAGAGTGTACATGTTTAGAACATGGGGGGGATGTCTGTCCAGCAAGCAGGTAAACTTCCTGGGGACGGACTTCCTCCGCATGTGACTAGAGGTGGGTGTGGCCTCACCTGTGCAGGTGATGACAAAAAGCACAGGCAGGCAGCCATCTCTCTCTCTCTGCCATTTTACTTCGATGAAGAAACATCTAAGGATGCTCTCTTGGCTCCCAGCCAAGAGAGGAGATAAGGCCTATCTTGCTATAAGATAGATCCTAAATGTATGTAACCTTTTTAAGCTGTGCCTTCTGGGATCACATTGTGAACAGAACGTGAGTAAACTCTTTTATACTTTTATGAAGACTGTGTCGTGTCTTGTATTTTAAGAGGGAACTAAAGGGGAAATTACCAGGGTAATTATTATAGAGGTTCTAGCGAACCTGTGCACACGTTACCGTTGCGTACTAAAGGGGAATGTATGTAAACTCTGCTGATATTTTGGGAACTTGTTAGCACAAGTTGGATCAGGATATAATTAGTCAATATATCCTTTCCTGCACCCCAGAACATTCCCACAAGTGGCGCTGTGGGTTAAACCACAGAGCCCTAGGGCTTGCCGATCAGAAGGTCGGCAGTTCGAATCCCCACGACGGGGTGAGCTCCCGTTGCTCGGTCCCTGTTCCTGCCAACCTAGCAGTTCAAAAGCACGTCAAAGTGCAAGTAGATCAATAGCTACCACTCCCGCGGGAAGGTAAACGGCATTTCCGTGCGCTGCTCTGGTTCCCCAGAAGTGGCTTAGTCCTGCTGGCCACATGACCCGGAAGCTGTACACCAGTTCCCTCGGCCAATAAAGTGAGATGAGCGCCGCAACCCCAGAGTCGGCCACGACTGGACATAATGGTCAGGGTCCCTTTACCTCTATAAATGCAATACGACAATGAAATGAATCCTAAGCATTGTGGAGCAAAGCCTGTTTGCTGCTCTGCTTGTTCTCTGTGTGTGGAAGGGACCTTCTCGGCACAGGAAGGTGAGAAACTGCAAGGGAGAGGGCGTTCCTTGGGGGAATTTATTGTCCCAAATTCATAGTGGAAATTCACTCATACTTTTTTGTGAGAATTCAGAATAAATTGTTGAATTTGGATCCTTCGTGGCCTCTGTATTTTTATTCACCTCAATTCCAGGAAGTGAGTTGAAAGAAATGACCACAAGGAAGCCATCTCTGGAGTTCAAAATCAGCAGAGAGAGGACTCAGCATGCACTGCTTACAACGCGTTCCTTTTTGCTATTTTATACCAAGCCACATGAAAAAGGCAATGATTTGGAAAATTATGAAGAATAACTGGCAAATGATGAAAAGTGGCAAATTTGTAACATAGTAAAAGCACAGCGCTAACAATACCTTATATGGAAATGTTTGCAATACAACTACTAGAAGCATTGTATGGAAGCAATAGGAAACTGTTTGCATTAGCAGAGCAAAGGGAAAGGGGTATGCCTTCAGGATTAGGCAGGAATCCTTCAACGCAGCTGATTTGCAGAGGTCATTGCCTCTCAACCCTAGAGCGCAATGTTGCTTTGCTGATCAAAATGAGAAAAACCTTGTGCGCCACCTCTGTCTCCTTGAGGAAAAGTCAGTAACAAGGGTAAACTTTGTTTAAAAAATGAACTAAATGTTTTTTTGCCTCTCTGTACCTATTGACAAATACTTATTTCCTGACCTCCCCCACAGCATCATATATTCTCATAATGTAATTGAGCTCAGGTGGGTCTGGAGGTAAGTGATGGTGAAGCCACTCTTTCCCTCTTCCTCGCGTCCAGAACGTTGCACAAAATGCCCAGACGATCATCATCCAAACAAGGACAGAGATCAATGTGTCCCCAAATTTATCACCTTCCTGGCTTATGGAAAACATTTGGGGATCATCTTAGCTCCCATTGTCCTCTTTCTGTCTTTAACAGCAGGGAGTGTGTTGGATGTCAACGTGGTATGTGTCCAACCAGATTTGGTGTCCACCTTTGAATAGCCTAGGATTTTGTGCTGCTCCATATCCCCAAAGCAGCCATTTTGTGACTGGCAGGGGCACCAGCTCCTGGGGGCCGAGACCTTTTGTCCCCCTCCCCCATATTATGTGTGGTATGGACACACTGCTAACATTCAGAAAGCATGGAGGCGGAGTGTGGAGCCAAGGGTGGCCTAGCTCTGGCCTCTGGCTCCTCCTCTTCCTGCTGTGGAAGGGAAGGAAGTTCAAAGCAGCCTCCTGTCAGTGGTGGCCCTGGGAGGAGGAGAGGCAGAGCCACTGACCACTGAAGCCACACAGCTGCTGCATTCAGCTCTGCCCCCAGCTCCTCCTGATGTCGTGCCGTTGCACACACAACGTTGGCCCCTCCAGTCACTTTCACAAGCTGGCGCCTCTGGTGACCAGCACCCACAGCACTTTCTCAGAATTCGAAGTGTTCCCACTGGTCCAAAACATTGGGTGACCCTTGGCCCACAGCACCGTCCTCATAGTTCCCACCTGAAACAAGAACCACAACATTAGTCATTCATGTATTATTATCCTTCATGCTCCAAAAGGGGACATCCACCCCCCACCCCCGTTTCTCTCTCGGCATTATTGCACCCCACGAACACATTCCACACCGCGAAAAGTACATGAGGAGGCTGCAGAGCTGAGCCAGCAAGGAGTGGAGCCCAGGAGGCAAAGGGCTGTGGCCAAGGGAGAGTTCTGAGGCATCTTCCTTCAGCTCCTGGGCCTGAGGGTCCCCATCCCAGATATAGGGCACCGTTAGCCCTCTAAAAACAACCTTTCTAGAGCAAAATAGAGGACACATTTGCCAACTTCAAGTTTTAACTCTGGATCGCTCTCTACCCACGGAAAAGAGGACGTGTCCTGGAAAAGGAGGACATATGGCAACCCTGCAATGCCCATCTCATTCTGTATTAGGGAGAAGTAATAAATCCAGGAACCCTTTTCCTGTTGGTGACAAACAAATGCCCTTTTCACTCTCCTTTATTGATTTTTATTATCGTATTAATTTGCAATAAAAAGGAGAGTAACTACCAAATACAAAAGAAAATTCAAAGTTGAAATACGATAAAGGAGAAAGTGGATGAACCATTTCAAAAAAGTGCATCTGGGTAGGAAGTTAACTTGTAGTGAATAAATGAGACAAATGAGCTGCTATTTTACAATTCCAATATTGGGCGGACAATATTGAATTTGTATAAGTTTGTTTTAACAACTACTGTATATAATTTTCCTGTTAGAAGTTTGCTTTCTTTGCCTCTGCTTTGTAACTATAATTTTAACTCTGCTTTTTGGTGCTGCTTTTACTTCGTTATATTAGGGGTTGACATCCAACATTAGACATATCCAGAGTGGGAGCAATGAAATAAATTGACTTAAATCATCTGATATCAATAGGTCTACTCAATAATAATAATAATAATAATAATAATAATAATAATAATTTATTATTTATACCCCACCCATCTGGCTGAGTTTCCCCAGCCACTCTGGGCGGCTCCCAATCAGTGTTAAAAACAGTACAGCGTTACATATTAAAAACTTCCCTGAACAGGGCTGCCTTAAGATGTCTTCTGAATGTCAGGTCATTATTTATCTCTTTGACATCTGATGGGAGGGCGTTCCACAGGGCGGGCGCCACTACTGAGAAGGCCCTCTGTCTGGTTCCCTGTAGCCTCACTTCTCGCAATGAGGGAACCGTCAGAAGGCCCTCGGCGCTGGATCTCAGTGTCTGGGCTGAATGATGGGGGTGGAGACACTCCTTCAGGTATACAAGGACCAAGGCCATTTAGGGCTTTAAAGGTCAGCACCAACACTTTGAATCGTGCTCGGAAACGTACTGGGAGCCAATGCAGATCTCTCAGAACCGGTGTTATGTGGTCCCGGCAGCCACTCCCAGTCACCAGTCTAGCTGCCGCATTCTGGATTAATTGCAGTTTCCGGGTCACCTTCAAAGGTAGCCCCACGTAGAGCGCGTTGCAGTAGTCCAAGCGTGACTATGACTAATGACAGTTATCCCTCTTCCATTCAAGAAAGGAAGGTAGGTATGTAGGTATGTAGGAAGGAAGGAAGGAAAGAAAGAAAGAAAGAAAGAAAGAAAGAAAGAAAGAAAGAAAGAAAGAAAGAAAGAAAGAAACTTGGCTATTCTCTGATCCCAGGAGTAATTGCTTGGGTTCTTACCACTTGCATATGCACAATTGTATTTGCTGAATTTCCCAACAGAGCGGAGCTGTATGCGGGTTGCACCATCCGCATCCTTTCTGGAACTTACAACCCTGAACTGCTCATAGGGTGGGATCAGAACCTCGTCTTCAACGGGCATGTCAGAAAATTCTCTGATGAGAACCCCATGACAAGTGTAAATCTCAAAGATGGTTTTGGCTAAAGGCTGCCCAACTCTTGATTCAGGATCTGCAGCAAAACCATGGGCAATCCCCTCTTGCCGTGATGAGGACGTGAATTGCCCAAAACGGACCATATCCTTAACAGTAGCGCTGAAGTGGATATTGCTGACCCCTCGAAACACCTTGTAGCAGGGGGGGCTGGGGGTGTTGGAGGTCCTCAGGTCCTGAAGGGCTCTGGTCAGGAGAAAGTGGAAGGTCTTGAAGTTGAAATTATTCCGGTAATGTTCCTTGGATTCCCCAGCTCTTCTTACAGCTGCGTTGAAATCAGAATACAACTTGGGTTCTTCAAAGGTATAAGCCATGATTGCTGCAGCGTACTCTGGCTTGAGGTTTCTGGGCCAGTTACTATCATCCCTCGAGTTGGCTGCTAATTTCCAGGCTTTGGCATAAATTTTGTTTTTGAGGAGCTCGGTTTGGTTTAGCCGTGCAATCTCCTTCTCCATCGTCTGTTCACAGCCCTCGTATTGGTCATCGAAGGAATCCAGGGCCATGTCAAGCGTTAACTCGTTACCTAAAAAACGGTCTTGTCTTGGGCTGGAGCTATGGGAGACCTTAAGCAAAAAAGAATAAGATGGGTAAGTAGCTTAGCATATGAAGAGGCTGGGAAGGTGAGACTTTGTGATAGAGGCTCCTATCACAGGTCAAGTTATGCAGCATCGCTGACAAGTGGCCATCCAACCTCTGCTATGAAACCTCCAAAAAAGGAGTGTGTCCTCCAATCTGTTTCTACTCTATTATTGTTTTAATTTTTTTGAAAGTTTTACATTGTTGATTTTTCTTATGGACAAAAAAACTAGGCAGAGGGCCTTCTCGGTAGTGGCGCCCGCCCTGTGGAATGCCCCCCCATGAGATGTCAAGGAAATAAACAACTATCTGACTTTTAGAAGACATCTGAAGGCAACCCTGTTTAGAGAACGTTTTTAATGCTTGATGTTTTACTGTGTTTTTAATATTCTGTTAGGAGCTGCCCAGAGTTGCAGGGGAATCCCTGCCAAATGGGTGGGGTGTAGATAATAAATTATTGTTGTTGTTGTTCTATTTTTTTTTGTAAAGCACGTTGAGGTTTGTTTAGTTTTCACAAATCAAGCAGTGCATAATTTTTTATGAATAAATAAGGTGTTCCCCGAATCACTACCTGCTCTAAGAAAGCAATAAAAAGGAAATGAGACCTCTTTACAAACTGCCCCTGTGCTGAGGCTGTTTCCAACTGCACATGTGCAAAAAACGAAAATATACCTATGCCCAAAATGAAGAGGGTCTGGCTTCCTAGAAGTGGGATTGTGTACAGTTAGCACTGAGAACAAGGAAGCGATGTTTCCCTTGGTATCTTCTAGGGCTCTCAGCAAGCCTTCCTTCTGACTTCTCCAGCTCCTTACAAAGGCACTGATCCCTCTGCCCCAGTTGTTGGGGGTTGGGGGGCAGAGCTGTGAACAACTTCTTCAGTAAAGATCTGGATCTTTAGGGGGCGGAGAAGACTCTCCATGACGGTTCTGCTCTGCCTCCCCAGCTGTGCGCAGTAATGCTTCTGAATACCAGTTGCTGGAATACCAGTTGCTCTTGCACTCATGCCCCACTTGTGGGCTTCCCGTCTCGTTGGCGGCTGTGAGGACAAGATGCTGGACTAGACGGGCCACTGGCCTGATCCAACAGGCAGGCTCTTATGTTTTCCAGGCTGCATCTCGTCTGGCATCCAGTTACCTACAGTGCCCACTGACCAATCAGATACTTGCAAAAGCCAGCCCTTGCCAATGCATAGCACCCTCGACCCTGGAGGTTAGCAGTCAGTGACTGACCTCCTTGGAGAATGCCTGGACCGAGTCTGAGGAATGGCCAAAGCCCTGTCTTAGAGCAGAAGGTCCCAGGTGGGCATCTCCTGAAAGGGCTGGGAAAATCCCTTGCCTGAAACCCTGTAGACAACACTGGTGGCTTCTCATCTTCCAGATCTGGCCTTCCTGTTTCCTCCAGTCCTGTTAATAGGAGGCTGGTGAAACCCAAACTCCAGATTTAAGATTGAATTCTGGACTGAAGGCCACCTTTGCTCCCTCTTCCAGCCCCAAGCTGCCTTTTCATACCAGATTGTCTCCTGTGAAGATTCCCATCAGATGCAACACCAGGACTCTGTGGAGAGGGGACTTCATTGTCCACGCCCGTTCGTTTTTGGGGTGAAGCAAGTTAGGTGCAGGCAGAGCAGATATCTCTATCTGCACGCTCGCTTCCATTTGAAACTTACTTACAGCTTTATGTGTTTTTTCTCACAGAAACAGGAAACAGGCCGATTTGAGGTTTCATGGCGGAGGCAGGGGGAAGCTCACTTCCTCAATGTTCAACTAAGTTCATTCTAGCAAAAACATACCCAATGATAGGTCTTGTTTTTCACAGAGATTCCTTCAGTAACAGGAAGAGGGAGAGGCTTGTTTCTCTACATCCTTCCCCTCAACACCATCAAACAGCATTTCAGTCTACACTTCTGGTTTGTTACTCAGCCACATTAGAGGGGCAACTATTAGTATACAAAGCCCTCACTAGCTTGGGATCCGTTTACTTGAAGGATTGGCCTGCCCAGACTCCCATCTCCGGAACTGGGACTTTTCACAAGTGCAGAGCCGTCTTTCCCACTGGTCTTAGTGGCACGTTGCGCCAGGGCCCTGGCCTCTCAGGGGCGCCCCAGCGAGTGGGGGAGCTGCGTGGCTTTGCCTCCCCTTTCCCTGCACGCCCGCCAGCTGTGCCCCTCATCCATAGGGCTGGTGGGCGTGCAGCTTCCTTCCCAAGCCTCCCCGGAGGAGAGCGATCCCTGCAGAGGCTTGGGAAAGGGCGACAGCTCTGGGGAAGGGGCGGGGAGGGATCTTTGCACCACGGCACCGGATATGCTTAAGACGGCCCTGCACAAGGGACACATAATCTCCGTCCTCTCATTGGGCAGGCTTCTTTTAAACGTTGCTTAGACTTCCTTTCCACAGGCAAGCCTACAAAGACATGGAATTTCATTGGGTACATTGCTTTTAAAAAGCTATTGGTTTGTAGATATATCTTGATAATTCAGATATGTTTAATGTTTTTAAAGTCTGTTTTTATCAGTATTTTAAATTATATATGTGTGTGTGTATCTTGCTAAATAAGAATAAATAAGCACATGACACCCCACTAGGGATGTACTGTATTCCATGGCTTAGGTTGGGGTTGGGGTGGGCAAATTTTGGTTTATCTTCATTTTTCGATTCTCAAGTCCACTCCTCCACATTTCCACATCAATTTGTGAGTATATATTTGTTTCAAGTCCTGCTGAAAATTCACCCCATCTTAGTTCAATTTACTCCTAATATACATAGATTTGTACGAAAGTTTGTCTAACACGCACAAGCTTGCAAAGCAATTTCTCCTAAAATAATGCATTTCTATATTCCATTTTTGACAATACAGTCTACCTTGGTTCTCAAACTTAATCCGTTCTGGAATTCCGTTCCAAAACCAAAGCGTTGCAAAACCAAGACACGCTTTCCCATAGGAAGTAATGCAAAAAGGATTAATCCATTCCAGACTTTAAAAACCCCCTAAAACAGCAATTTAACATGAATTTTACTCTCTAACGAGACCATTGATCCATAAAATGAAAGCAATAATCAATGTATTGTACTATTAAAATGAATAAGACAGTATTGTAGATGATAATAAATAAATACCGTAAATAAAAATTTCTTACCTGCACTGATGATAGTCATTGTTTGATTGGGGGGCTTTTATCCATTTCCGAAGTCACACAATGAATCAATCAATCAGTAGTTGAACTGGGTTCCACACAGTCACAAAAACAAATTAACCGAAAAATCCTCAAAAACAAAAACGCAAAATAAATAGCCAAAACAAAAGTGCCAAATACAGTGGTACCTTAGTTCTCGAACTTAATCTGTTCTGGAAGTCCATTTGACTTCTGAAATGTTCAAAAACCAAGACGTGGCTTCTGGTTGGTGCGGGTGCCCCAGAAACAATAGCCAACAGCTGCATCGGACGTTCAGCTTCCAAAAAAACATTTCCAGGTTTTTGGTGTTTGGGAACCAAGGCATTTGAAAACCAAGTTACCACTGTATAAACTTTTATATGCACTATTTGCCCTCTCATGTGCATTTTTACGCACATTATTTGGCTAGAGGACTGGCTTACAAAATCCAAAGAAGTGAGAATTCCAAAGATGGCTGTCTTTTGGTTTTCACTTTCTCTTCGAGAAAGTGTGAATTAGGTTGGTTCACCTTTAAATGTGAACTGGAGCACATTTCCATGCTTAGTTGAGAGCGCTTGCCCAGGTGACGCACAAACTCACTTGGGGTGGAAAGTACTTGCGGGGTTGCCAGTGATGAAACACTTCTGATCCAAGAGACGCTGCCTAGGGTTTTCCAAGGCTTGGGCACAATCCACTTCCAAAGCAGATTTGGGCCTGGGCCACAGGCAGATTTTGAAGAGACCCTCGATTTTGACTGGAGGAGACAACAGACAGAACAATCTCCCTTGATCCTTAAAAGAATGGGGGGGGGTATTAAAAGCATGTTTTATCAACACTGCTGAGCAAACTGGCTTGTGGTCCTTCACTCTCCACAGGGAGTCCTGCGAAGGGTATTTCAGTGGAGGAGGCGGAATATTGGGGACAGTGGCGTAGCAAGGTCAGCTGGTACCCGGTGCAGATAGGATTGGCTGCGGGTTGAGTGATGATGAGTCACCAGCTGTTTACGTCTCGCTCGAGTACAAACTGCAGAGACAGACTTAGGCAGAAAGAAACACCCCCTGCCCTTCCTTGTCCATTTGCTCTCCACTACACATCGTCGAGTTCAGCCGTGTTTTGTTGCGTTTGTTGACTGAACTAAAAAGTTTCAATATGTATTGTGTTGAATTGCTGAGGTTAATTAATTGTCAGGCGAAGTTATCAAACTCGTTTTAAATAATATTATTTTTTCCCCAAAAAAGTGTCGTGAGCCCAATTTTTTAATTTTTTAAAATTTATTTTAAAAACACGTATTTTTGCCATTTTGTCACCCCCCCCAGTGGTGACACCCGGGGCGGCCCGCACCCACCGCACACCCCTTCCTACGCCACTGGTTGGGGAGAATTGTGCAGTCTAAAAGAAACGTATACAGTGGTACCTCGGGTTAAGTACTTAATTCTATCCGGAGGTCCATACTGAACCTGAAACTGTTCTTAACCTGAAGCACCACTGTAGCTAATGGGGCCTTCTGCTCCCGCCGCACCGCCGGAGCACGATTTCTGTTCTCATCCTGAAGCAAAGTTCTTAACCTGAAGCACCATTTCTGGGTTAGCGGAGTCTGTAACCTGAAGCGTATGTAACCTGAAGCGTATGTAACCCAAGGTACCACTGTACTGAGCTCTCAAGAACTTCCCTCAATGGTCCCTAGATGTCAGTATAGGCCTAGGAACGTTCCATTTCTTCGCTTTCCCTTATTCTGTTAAGGAGAACTCTCCTCTGGAAAACTCATCCCATGCCAACACTGTCCCTGTTAGGTGCCAAGGGAGTGGGATTCTGAATTCCTATGCTTTTGTGTTTTCCTTCATTATGGTCTCATTCTAGCCCTGTTTTGCGGAGAGCCGAAACCTTCAGGAAACACACCCTGGGGCAACGCCCTCCCTTGCCCTGTGTCTCCAGCATATCTTTGATTACAAGGCAGACAGACCCCAGGACCCCAGGACTGGCTCCACTTAACTTGTAAGTCACGATATGTTGCAACTTAGAAACAAATAACTCATAACACATCCATTAACTGCTGCAAGAACCACCATTGCCAAGACATGGAAATAATTACAAATAATGGTTGATTGTGGACCAATAGTCTAATGCAATCTGGCAAACAACAGGATTGGAAAAACTGCCACAAAAATTAAAAGTAGCAAGAGGGCAAAAGAATCATGATGATTTTTATGCAATCTGATGTGACTTTATTGATTACACAAATAAAGAGGCATATGGAAGAACCGTACCCAAAGTTTACAGCACAGTCTAGCGTGCATGAAGGACATATTTTAACTTTCCCCCTACCCCTTTCTTATAAATTCCTATAAATTCTAATTGTTATTGATACAAAATTCCTCTTACTTATTGTCACTGTTACTTTGCACCGTTTCATATCTGTAGTAATTGTCATATTTTTGCTATATACACTTTGACACAACCTTGTCAGAAACATTTGTCTGTGTGTTTATTGTTGCTTTAATTTTATGTAATTGTTGCATGTCATATGCTCTAATGTAAACAAAGATATATCTCAATGCAACCATGATAAACAGCTTAAAGATGAAAAGGAATAAGAACTATGTTACCCTCCCCCAAAAAAGAACTGAACTGCGTTGAATGAGGACACCCAAACATTTCTCCCATAGTCCATCCAAGCAGCAGTTAAACATTCCTAAAAAGTATAAACACACACGCAGCGAGATAGAGTTGCATTACTTGCGCCTTCCTTTTGTCTCCATCTCTGGGCAGGTTCTGGACCATCAAGGACTGACCACACCTGCCTTGTCCTTAAGGACCTTCATCTCTGCACCATGTCCCAGTCCCCCCACCCCCCACCCCCTGCACCACTGCTGGTTTGGTTGGTCTTCCAGATCTATGGGTGGTGTTGGTGCTGGGGAGATGGCAGGAAGTGACGTTGCTTGCAAGACATATCCATGCTACTAAGGTAGGGCAGGAGCCCAGCTGATGTAAGGACCATGCTGTGTGACTGGGAAATGCCCTGCTCAAAGATCCTCTGTTGGACCATGCTGGCTAAGTATTGCTGGGATGGTGGGTTAGATGGCAAGGGCGGCAGTGGCAGCACACTGTGCTACGGAGCTGGGAAACTGGGTCCCACTGACTCTCCCACCTCCTTGTTGGGGCAAAGGAACAGCAACACAGGTCTAGGGTAGAAACTCTGGTGCCTCCAGTGGGCCTTAAAATCCCTGGGGCAGGAAGGCCAGCACTTTGAGAAACACGCCCCACCCTTAAATGCCATGGTCTGGTGGTACTGGAGGAAGAAGTGGGAGCAAGCTCTGCTTTGGGCCTTCTCATGCCATGCACAGCTCGACAACTTTCTTGGCCAGCACTGGGAAACTTGTGTCCAGGAAACACGAAGGGCATGGGGGAGAGAGAGGTCACCATCCCAATGCTTTGCAAGGTGAACGCCAGACAGAATGCAGCTCCCAAGGTCCTTGTGGCTTGGCTTCCGAGTCCTGGTAAGAGCTCAGGGCGTGGCTTGGTGGACGTCCTCTGAGCGAAGCACTTTGTAGACCACCCAGTAGAAGATGTTGAAGACCAGGAAGGTGAATGGGAAGACCGCCCGAGAGATGGTGTCGATGCGCTTGGCCCTGTCCAGGTAGCGCCTCCGGAGCATCTCGTCCTCCCTCAGGAGCGAGGTGGGAGGGGGTGGCCTGTAGATGTCAAGACTTTCCATTGCCCCACCGTCCTTCATGTGCTGCAGGCAGTGGCCCAGGCCGTAGCCCCGGAAGTAGAAGCGGCTCTCGCGGACAACCTCTTCCTCCTGGGGAAAGAGAAAGGGAGGGAGCAGCCCAGGGAGCTGGGGTCATTGCTTTGGAGGGGTAGTCACGGCTTAAAGGTTCTCCGTCTTGTCTACAGGACA